AGATTTTTTTGAAACGTCCTCTTTAAATGTTCGCTGATTATAATTGAATCCCACTCAGTTAATGACTCAATTGCAATTCGAATACATCTCGAACGGACCGTTCAAGCAATCATCTCCCCTCGCTCCTTAGCATAGTCAAATCCGCAAATAATTCATAAATAGCCTCCCCCTGCGCGTCGCCGCCGCTCAATCGTCCACCTCCCCCCAGTTGTAAACCCACCCCCCATCGGCCACCTAAAATACGAAACTGGACATTCGAATCTAATTACAATTCTTGCTCATGCGTGGCCCTGATAAAGGGGGGCGGGGGGAAACTCGGGGGGTGCGACTTACCCCCTTCCCACCCGCACCACAAGGGGTAAGTCGCGAAACAAGCGAAGAGCGGCCCGCGACGGCGATCGGCAGTTGTTTCAGTTAGTTGTTTTATCGCGGCTTGCCAATTGAGAGCGTAGCAGCCACCGAGCTACGGCGATAGTCACATGTTTTCAAATATACGCGAAGGCGCGAAATCTTTTTTCAAACTGATGATGATTTTTGCAGACGAATCTTGCCGATGATAATTAAATAGTGCTGCACCCGATCATTTGACGAGAATCGAGTGTTTCGCGGTGGTTACTCGACAGTGTCTTTCTTGGACACAGCTTACTAAATTGCAACTTTTAATACCGGGTTTGACTAAGTTTGACTAAAAACTCTGAGTTGAACGCAAAAATTAAATTTACCAAGTCGGGATGTTGAGGTAATCGCAAAAGCGTGCCAGTGCGGTTTCAAATCATTGTTACATCGTTAAATAATGCCGCGGGCATATCGGACAATATATTAACTATTTAAGCATAATTAACCGAAGGTTAAATAGATCGAAAAACAGTTCAATTTAGCGACAGTGGCACCATCATTAAGAATTGTTAAACATTTAGAATAGAAAGAGTGAGGAGACGTCAGACAATTAGAGAAACAAATCCAAATCTAGTGAAACGAGACTTTATTATTGAAGAAGAAAGCAACTGCCATGCAGGCGGTTTTGGTTTGAAAAACGAGGTCGATTCATCAAAAACGGCGGAATATTTCCGAGATTGGTACGCAATTGTTGCTCAGAATACTTTAGGAAACTCAGGTAAGACGATTTGTTGATATCTTAGCTGTTAAGTAAAGTTAAAGTGTCCGCCTATCAAAATGCATCCAAAACATCGCTAAATAGTGCTAAAATTGGAAGCTCTAAAGTGTCCAAAATTAGAGGAGTTGCGGCTGAAAAATGTGCACACACGCTTTTCTAAAGCTTTTCCTTTAAAATTCAGGCAGCGGAAAAGTTTCTAAGTTGAAATAACTCCTTTTCCACTCAGGTAGACCATACCTGTATTATCACCCTCTTATTGTACAGCTGAAGTCGATTAATTCGTTGAAGCCACAAAATAAATTATCTGCAATCTGTTAATAAGTAGCGCAACATCGTGTAAAAAGGGAAAGAAAAATGTCGCCTAAGCGTGAACAAACCTGCAAATATTGTACTTTGCAATTTCTCCAGGAAACTGACTTTATTAAACTGGCCAGAATGGGACTTTAATGCGACCGTTCACTCCTTTTAGATGACTACACCATATTTTTTTCGAGCTCTAATTAATAAGTTACACCAAAAGGATGTTAGATTGGTTTTCATTAGCTGTTTCGCACGTACCAACCGCTTTTAGCAGGCGAAAAATGCACGAATATTCGTCGCGTCACAAATCCTCGAGTAGTCTTGCCTTAACCCGATCGAGCACAGATTTTTTGAATAGTCGAATGATATCAAAAGAGCGTATCTGTGAACTCAACAAAATATTTGTCAAAAAGTCCAAGTTTTAAAGTCGTCAAGTGTTAAATATCCTTTTTCAAATTCTGCTCATTTTCCTGAAGAAACGGCTCTAAAATTGAGTCCGGGGTGCTGTCTGACTCGGCTGTTGATATCTCAGCACCATCAATAGGCAGCAAACCTTGCAATCTTTTAAAATAAACTTCCCAACCACTGAAACAACTGAATCGACTTTAACCTTCCAATTATTTGATTTTGGAGCTGAATAAAATTCCCATGTAAAGCAGACAGGATTTATGGGGGAGAACATGAGAGCATTTGTTATAGCCCAACTATTCACGTGTAAAAATGTCTTTAAAAACTATTCAAGCTCTGTGTATGAATGTGCAGAAGCGCATGTAAATGTTACTTTTTTCAAAGTTTACAAGCGTTTTTGTCTAAATTTATTGAGCAAGAACTATGTTCAAGTAAAGCATATATGACTTAGGTAGGACAATAAGAGAGCAGTTTGTTATGTTATAGCCCAACTATTCACACGTAAAAATAATGTATTTTACAATCAAAGCCGATTGTTTTCTGCACTATTTATAAAAGCTCAGTGCTTTAGCACATATCAATGGTATTTTTCAAATTGATTACATTTGAACTGTTTTTTAGAACCTTCTTCGCATTTACGCTCCTCGAAAAGCCTGTTTGAAGAAACGATCGACAATATTGTAGCTTCAATACAGCCTTGTTTGTCAATGTTTTGGGATCTAATTTATGCGCAAATTTTCAACAGCGGCAGCCTGAAAGCTCTGCTATAGTCTGCATTAAAAATTAATACAAATGTTTAAATTCGCTTTATTTAAGAGCATTTTCTTTGCATGTTTCCCAGTTCTTGCCCTTTTTATTAATGCGTTTTAAATTGATTATAATGTGATTTTCTATTGTAATACCCCAGTTATAGTACTAGCGTTTCCTAGTCCTTATCGTTATTAAAGCACCCATAATTATGCCTCATTACTTGATTTGGATAATTATCCAGCGGTAGATTTTCGGCAAGTTGAAATTCATTCTGAAAAGATTTTGGAATAACGTTAGCTTTTACTAATTTTTAATAATGCACGTATCGCGTTTTTCGACGTTTGCCGATAACGATCTTTAGCCTTAATTATGTTTCTTGGTAATTACCAGCGGATTTTGATCATATTTAAATATAGCTGCCGGAAAATGTGTACTGCTAAGCGACCAAGCAGTATGTAACAAGAATTTGAATTCAATTTCAGCTCATCTTTATTGGCTCAACTGAACCATCCTTTTCATGCACATTAACTAGCTTCCGCATTACTTAAACCTTTAAGGATTTCAAAAGTCTGAAACTGCTAAATAACATCTATTATTTTCCTTCGTTGGTAATTATAAATATATTTAGATTAATCTATGAATAAGTTAATTAAATTTCTTTCGCTTGTTAGAGTTGGCCAGTCAAATTTACCGATTCGCCATGGTAATTACCCAGTTTACGTAATAATGATGATTTCTAATTTTTGGGTAATTAGGTGCGGAGGAAATTGGAAAAAGTATTAAGTTGAATTAACGGCGGGAATTAGATCATATCATTACCAAAACTAATTACGGTTACGGCATAACCGAATTAAATTATGTTTGCTTAAGTAGTTTACTGCTTAGAACATTTCTACGATTTTATTAATTATTTTCCTGCACTGTTCACATTAAACGGTAATGATCATTCAGTTGAAACTTAGTTTCTAATGTCTGAGCTGTTTTATTAATCCTCTTAAAGTGCAGACTTAGAATTTCTCATTTTGTGTCAATCTTTTTCAAAATTAACTCTAATAGAAAATAGTCGCTTAACACCAACGCAAAGCCTGTTGAATGAAAACCAGAGTCCAGCTTTGTGCTAATTGTTGCCAACTGAATTTACTTATTTGGTAATTGATCGTTTACCGTTATGTTAAAATGTAGAATTAAAATGATTCAATTAATCCGCACGAAAATTGCGTAACAAAGCCAAGACTGTGAATGTCGGTTGGTATGGTCAAAACATTAAAGGTATATTTATTAGTCATAATGTTAGCCCACGCACATTTTTCATATTTATTTATAGATACAATAAAACTAATTAATAATAGCTCTCCTTGCTAATAAACAATCATCGAAAAAATAATTATTATCTGTTTAAATAAATCAGGCGTTTGGAATCTTGATATATGCCATTTGGTGCCAGGCAGCGTTTCGCAATATTGCCACCATTAATTTTTATTATTTTAGTAATTAGTCAAATCGGTGATATTAATTATTGTTTGGAGCGTATTGTTTGTTATGATGGCAACATCGAAAGGAAACATTTCGGATGGTGATCGAGCATCTAAGCTTGAAATCGCCGGTTTTCTTTATAACAAACGTCCGGATTGTTTGATGAATCGCTTTGTACTGTAAATACCTGTAATCGTTCGTCAATTTAGTAGTGAAACTTTCGAAAGCGAAGAAATTTCATTTAGATAAACGACATAAAGCAGGCTCCGACAATCGCTAAGAATTTCGACTGGTGAACTGCCCATGCCCTCTCAAATAAAGGATTGTAATTTTAATTGTTATCCTCCGTGTTAACACATTAAAAAAGATGACTGGGAAAATTTGACGCCGTAATTTGATTGTTATACCGAGGTGTTTTAAGTGCTAAGCCGATTTATCTTGATGGCAAGTGACGCAACTGAGTTCTATTTTTTTATAGTTGCCTAGCGCTTCAACACATCTTTGAATTATGGTTTCGGTGTGGTTGTCTAAGGAAAAAATCAACTCGCTTCATTAATATGCAACTCTTTTAAGTGCACGCTTATCTTATCAGTGATGGTCCAGGAATCCAGAAATATTTCTTGAGGCAGTTTTTTGCCAAAGTGTAATAAAGGAAATCCTGAAATGTCCGAATTGCTCAATCTAAAGTAAGACATTTCATATGAACAAAGGTTTGCAAAGTTTGCAAAACGTTGTATTTTGTATTTGCAGTGGTTCTGGATTTTTTCGCAGTAGATTGTTTAAATTTAACTAGATTATTACCTTGGCTAACAGTCCTCCAGAAAAGCATTCTTAATCAGCAGTGATTACTAGACGAAAAAAAATATTAGAAAAATATAGAGAAACTCACTACGAAAGTCATTACAACAACGCGGTGTCGGTGAAAGAATGATAGATATTTTAACCGGATTCAGTTTTGGTGATTAGCCTAAGAACAGAAAAATCGATTTAATTAGCAAATTTGCATAGTGTTTTCAATCTCGAAAGGATTTTTGTTAGTTTACAATTGTATGATCTGCTTCACTTCCCCTGTGTGAGACTGAAAAAGTTACAAATAACCCTTTAAAGCCAAAGAAAACATGCAAACTGCCAAGAAAGCTCCGGCTAAGCAGACAATGGATAAATCTATATCACAGGGAGATTGTTTAATTTTTCATTCTGAAAGAATAGGAAAGATGCAGTATTTGCGGCCATGCAGAATGAAGGACCGAGAAGTCAGCACAGAAAGAGCTGAAAGAAAAGAGGATATGTATGTATAAGTCACACAATTTGGTTCAATTCATATACAATTTAAACTAATGCCAGAATCTGTAAAAATATGACACAGTGTGCTAACGAAAAAACGAAATTATTACCGAAGAAATAAAAGGATAATTATCGGAAAACACTCTTGATCAGAGAAATTAGCGAAATTATAAGAAATACACCAAACAGAACCTGTTAAAGAATGGGCGTTGAAAATAAAGAATACAAGTAATGAACTCTGGAAAAAGTGGTTGCAACAGCATGTCACCATTCCTTAAGTGGAGTAGGCACAACCCGAGCAAATAGAAAAGCAAAAAGAATTAATTGATGAAGAAAGGAACAGGCGGAAAATAGGCAAGGGCGAAGAGGACGATTATGCTCCAGCATTTTTGCTCCACATTAAAAGCAAAATAATTGCACTTCAATTATTCGTACTCATGAGTCCCGCACAGTTGACGCCACTAATCTTGTATGGTATATAAGAAAAATCTTCAAGAAATTTCAAATACTGTTTACACTCAAAAAGTCTGGTTTGCTTAAATATCTACTTCATTTACCAAACACTTTATCCAACTAAGGTAAACCACCTAATTATTGCATATATTGTGACAATGTTAACTGTCCCAGTATTATAGGAAACATGACACAGTAAAGTAATTGCGGTCAATTTAAGAATAACATCTGATTATGACATGGCAATTTGCACAATTTTCCATGAATCAAGTCTTATTATTAACCGAGCTGTTAACGTTAATGAAACAGACGAATTATTGGAGGAATTAAAA